AGCTACCAGCGGCCAGGGCTCCTGTCACAGTCTCTGTCTGCGCTTTCAGCCACCGCCTCTATCGCGCCTGCGGGTGATCCGAGCCTGATGACACAAAAAACGCCCGTAATGATGCCCTTTTGGCTGGGGGTGCACCAAAATTCCCCGATGCCATAACCCATGAGTCAGTACAAGCCCTATCACATGGGGCCCCTGCAAAGCACGAATGGCGTCATGGTAACAACATCCACAATTGCGTGATATCCTGCATCGATGGCCTATAGGGAAAACACTTCTCTGCCAGTGGGTGCTGAGCCAACTGCAGATGGAGGCAGTCTTGCGATTTGCGCCTTGCGTGCGTATCCCAACCCTTTCCATAATGGGGCCCAGCTGGGCAAACGTAATTATCAGGCCTGATGATCGCGCAACTGTTTGCCAGTGTTGCGAGAACGTGGCAATGCACGGCCACGGATAATTTGCAATGCTGAGTCACCTGGTGCAGGCGTGCTCGCGAAGTCACTTGGTGTCATGCGGGACACCAGAGGTGAGTGAGGAGCCCAAACGATGGGGAACAAGCAGGGATCACGCTCTAAACAAACATTCCCTGCCAGCCTTACATCCGTCTTGAGCGCCAGAGAGGAGGAGATGACGGCTTGCAAGGCCTGAGGGCGGAGGGGTCCACGGAGGGTGGAGGGGTCCACGGGGGTTGGTACCCTGTGATCGCGTGCAAGCATACGTGAGTGTGCGTGCCTGCTTGCGTGCGGGTGTGGGTGTGTGGAAGTGCGCGTGCGTGCTTGCGTGCATGCGTGCGTGCGTGTGCTTGCGTGCATGTGCGTGCGTGCGTGCATGCGTGCATGTGCTTGCTTGCGTGCGTGCGCGTGCTTGCGCGTGCTTGCGCGTGTATGCGTGCGAGGAAGCGCGCGAGCGTGCATGCATGCGCGCTGTCATGTCTGTGCGTGCGTATGTAGCGCGTGTGCACGGCTTGCGCATCATATATCCAACTCACGCTGTTCTGGGTAGTTTTTCAGTCAGCATACCCGTGTGCCCCTGCCTTCGCTTTTTTCTTGATTATCTAATGGCAAATGTTTTTGGGCAACGCTGATAGCTGGATGCCAGCCGGCCGGCGCACCCCCAGGTGTGAAAATGCGCTTTACACAGATTGTCAAGTGAAGCGGCAGCACACGAGATGCGCTCCTGTCAATCGCGTGGTACGGTTGTGTAGTACTGGCGCGCCGTCAGGGGCGCAAAAACGTGTGTGGCGGTGACTTGCCGGGGCGCGCACGCAAGCGCGCGCGCTGTGGCCGGCGCAGTGCTGGAGAGTGGATCGGCGTACGCGCCTCCCGCCCTCTCCCGGCGCCGAGAGCGCGGCGGCTGGATCGCAGGGTTTTGCAGGGAGTTTTTGACCTTTGGTTTGGCGCATGGGGGACCAGTGGTCCCCCGGCCCTGGTGGGCCGCACGCGTTCAGTCTGCAGCTGGGGGCGGCGGGATGGTGTGCTGCCGCCCCAGGCGGAGGTTTGTCCTGGCTGAGGTGTGTTGTTGCCAATGAAAAACGGTAGGATTCAAACGGCTGGCCCATTCTGTCAGCTGGGCGCATGCAGCAGATGCGGCGCGCACATGGCTGGTGTTCTGCCTCCGGGCCCGCGAGGCCCTTTCCCGCTCGCACGCACAGACACCGCCCTTCCCTCACCCCCGCGTTGCGGCCAGCACGGGCGGGGCAGGCGTGCAGGGGTTGGTGGCGCGCGAGGAGGGGCCGGGCACGCGGGCCGCGGTGCTCTCAACAGGAAGGAAGGATTTCGCAACCGGGAGATGACACGCGTACCAAGCATATCGATGTGGGGGCGTGCGCATAAGGAGTCACGCGAGTCGCGCTGATTTTTCCTGGCATGTGATGGTGTCAAGTGCGGCTACATACCTAAGTGCGGCTGCGACGCCCACACACAGCCACAGAAGGGGGTGCACGCACCCGTCCGCCCGCGGTCGCGCACGCGGCCGCGGCTGGGCATGCTAGCGCTTCGCGAACCGAACGCGCAGCAACACATCAACACAGCGGCGGCCCGCAGTTCTTTCTCCCGATTCTTTCCATCTGCACCAGCGCCACGGCCGTGCACAAAGACCAAGCTGGCCCTCGCCAACACCGCGCCGCACTGGGCTCGCGGGCAGCCTGGGGGCGCGGCGGGGGCGATTCCAAGGCGCAGCAAAACGCAAAGCGTTTGACAGCACAGCTCGCGGGGCGCCGCTGCTTATGCTCGGCGCGCCGGACGCCGCGGCGCGCAGACGGTAGTTATGCAGATGCAGGTTTTTGCCGCCAATGCGCCCCGGATTAGCTCGGATCAGGGCGCCACGCCTGATGATGCTACCGCTAGGAATAAGCCGCCCCGCGTCGGAAAACGCTCATTAGTGCATTTGAGACCATTCCAAGGGCCGCGGCGGCGGGCGCCCCGAGGCGCGTCGCCTATCGCGTGCCCAGACCCAATCTTTGAGAGATCTTGCAAAGCGGCCGGGGCTGCGCGGTGAGCGCGCGCCCGCTGCCGTGTTGGACTGGGCTGGTGACCCGCCCACGAGCAGTGTTGGAGGGTGACTGGCACGGGTAGCGCAGTAGAAATAAGGGCGAAGCGAAACAAACGCAGCCGAAAAAGCAGCACAGCAGCCAGTCGCGGGCCGCTGCCCCATCGGCGCACAGGCTGCGGCTGGGGAGGGCAGCCGTGGAGGCAGTATTCAGTAACGCGCCGCAAAATTCGATGAGGTGGGGGGTTGGGCGCGATCGCTGGGGCGACGGGGCAGCCTGGGGGCTTTGGGGGGAAGTCAATGGCGCAGGGGGCATGGAGAAAAGGCCATCGGTCGCCCTTCCAGGTCGAGCCGTACTTGAAATGCGTATACAGGGAATCCATCGAGCAGCCAAACCGCCACAGCAGAGAAAACCGGCACGCAGCGGAAAGGCTTGGGGGCTGAGACGTGCGGGAAGGGGAGCGGGGACAGTGCAGCCTGGGGGGCCGTCAGCGAGGCGCCGACACAGGTGATTGGAAAGAAAAGCCACCGCCCGAGCGAAGGGTCGCGGGGAGCCCCGCGATGCTTCGCTCGGGGCCGCCGCCAGGAGGGCAGCAGGGAAAAGCCCGCCGGTTGGGGCGGTGGATACTTATGAGCGGGAAATCAGCGGGGGAAAAACGGGTGATGAGCGAAAAGAACCGGAACGACCCCGGGCAGCAGAGCAGAGGGCACGGCAAGCAGAATAGATGCAGCCTGTTGAGGAGGGGTGTGGGCTGGGCTGGGGGTAGTACTTGAGGGGTGCAAGGAGGGCAGGCGACGCTGGGTCCCAGGCGGGCACGCGCCGGGACCGGCGGCTCGCGCTGCTGCGATGCAAGCTAATTAACGGAAAGAGCTGCTACCAAATCAATCAGCTGGTGCGCCGCGCCGCGGGAAATGGGATTGGCAGGGGAGGCCGTGCGCCGTGTGGCGGTTGCGAGGCATGTCCCCTGATGCCTGCCGGAAAGCCGGGCCGCCAGGCGCGCACGTGGGGCCACACGGGCAGGCGCGGGGCACGCGCAGCGCTGCCGGCGCGGGCGCCGGGGCGCGCGGGCGAGGGCGGGCTCAAGGGCTGACATTCCTGCGAGGTTTGGGCGGCCCGCCGGATCCCTCAACCTACAGGCACGCCTGGCAGGAAAGTTCTGTACGTGTGCGGCCGCCCGACGCCCGCCGGCGCCACGCCACCCGCTTGCCCGCCGCCGGCGCTGCGCCCGCGCAGCGAGCGTTTGTGGGGAAAAACAGGGGCGCACCGCGCGGGTGGCGGTGCCGGCCGGCCGCGCCGCGGGTGTTAGGGGGATGGCTTATTTGTGATTGAGGAAGGGAGTCGGCGGAGCGGCGCTGCACGAGCGCGGGCGCGGGCGCTGCCGAGGCTGCGGGCGGCGAAAGGCAGGGTCGCTGGGGGTTTGGCCTGTCGAGTGCGGCTGGCCTGCAGAGACACTGATCACCAAGCACAATCGCGGACGGCTCGAAACAAGGCGGGTCGGCGCCGCGCGGCGGCCTTGGGCCCGCCGCGTGCGCCGCTCGGCGCTGCAGTTCAAAGGAAAAAACGGCCTCGGGACCGGCGGTTTCGGGACCGGGGCGTCGCTTTGAGCAGAGTGTTTAGTAAGGGCTACGAGCGGGTTTTCCAGGCAGGCCGTTGGAAGGGCGGCGCAACAATGGGCGGCGGCGCCGGCGACCCCCCTGCGGCGCTGCGCCGGGGGGCAAGGGCATGCCTGCCGCTGCCACGGGCGGAGTGCTCCTGGGGCCGTGCCGTGGCCCAAAGGGCGGGGGATGCGTGCGCCAAAGTGGCGGCGGCCCCCTGATTGTGTGCATGCAGGGATGCTGGGTGAAGGCAGCCCCCGGGCTGGCGGCCGCAAGAGGAACCCCCGCTGGCAACCGGCGCTCCCCTCTCGATGCCGCGCCTGCAGGCCTGCCTTTGTTGGGCCTGTGCTAAGAGACAGCTGTCGGATGATGAAAACGAGCCGACCCGCGAGGTGGTGCGCGGGCTGATGCGGCGGCCCCTGGAAAACAAAAACAGATGGAAAAACCGACGCGCAGTGCTTGTGTGCGCGCCGGCAGGCTGGCTGGACTGTCGAGGGCGCAGCCTGGGGCAGGTCAGTGCAAGTATTGAGGTTGGCCATCCACAGGGGGGATGGGCATTCCAAGCCTGGCGCGCGCGCGCGCCAGCCTGGCGCACGGCGTGGGCCCGGGGCCCAGGGCCCGGGGGCGGCGGGGGCCGGCAGGGGGCGGAGTGGTCAAGGTAGTGACAAGGCCTTGGGGTTATGAGGGGCTATGGAAAGCACATCGCGGCGCAAGAGAGCGTGGGCCGGAGGTCAGGGGTTTGACCGGCCAGGGGATGGGGGCACCGATGGGTTCTGAGAAAACTGTCTGTGTGGGGGCGCCGGCTGTGGGGGGGCGCGCGCGCGTGGGGGCCGCGCGCGCGCCGAGGGCGGGGGCCCTGGTTGCGGCCGAGGCCGAGGTTCTGTAACGTCGCACGTCCAAGGTATCGCCCCAGATCGCGCCTACTGCACATAATACGACGGCTCGCCGTTCCAGATCAGGCAGTCCTCCCCATCGTCGCCGCAGTCCAGCAGCTGCATGTAGCCGCCGCAGTCCGGGGGGGCGGCAAAGTCCATGGAGTCGCAGTCCAGCAGGCAGCAGGCCCCAAAGCCCGCAGGGCCAGATGGAGAGACGCCCAGCAGGTCGATGGTCCCGAAGAGGTTGTCCACGCCGCTGTCCGAGGGAGAGCCCGGGCCGTCGGCGCCCGCGGGGGCGTCCGAGGTTGCGCCGCGGGGGCCGAGGCCGAGGTTGAGGCCGAGGTCGAGGCCGAGGTCGAGCTCGTCGCCAGCGGGCGCGGCCGGCGCGCTCGGGGCCGGGGGCGGCGCCGCCGCCCACGCGGGCGCCGCGGGCG